GGGAGTTGCGGTGACGAATTCCGTGCGTATACTGCATATTAAAGGAATAATGTGTGTTTAGAATTTGACTAGGGATTTTATCCATTTTCCCTCCTTTGTAAGCTAAACTTTTTGATCATAGGCCTTCATAATTTTTCTTATTTCAGAGAGAGTAAGGAAATGCTGAATATAACAAAATTGGAGGAACAATTACCTACTTTTATCCCTGTTGAATGAAAAAAATAAAACGAAGCACCTACCTACAAAAATAAAATGAAGTAAATAATAAAATAAGGTAAAGAAATACGATAAATAAAATAAAGCAAATAAATAAAATACATTAAATAAGTAAAATAAATTTAAAAAATAAATTAATTAATTAATTAAATAAAATAAGTTAAAGAAACAAAATACCTAAAGTCTAAAGAAAATCAATCTAAAACAACAAAATAAAATAAAAAAATGACGTAAAATAATATAATGAAGTGAAAAAATAAAATGACTTATAATAATGCATTAAAATAAAAATCGAACAAATCTATGTAAATTGGTCGAGATATCCTGACTGCCCGTTCAATTGGACGCTGAAATGCGGGTTTTTCGTTTCCTCGTTCAAGTTCTCGCCATAGCTCAGTAGGTACGATTCTCGTCTTCGGTTAGTTAGGACCCAGGTCCAATTCCCGACGTAGGCAAAAAAAATTCTACACGTAAATAACGAAAACTGTGCCTACAAAAGTCTCGTGGACCTTATTTTTCGCGGTTTTAGAAATTGTTAAAAATAAATTAATATACCCCCCCCCCCCCGGAAATTGGCCCGGGGTTTTCCCCCATGGGATCAATAATGGCCCACGGGGTACAAAGTCCCCATGGGATAGTAACCTCCCATGGGGAATTCAACTTTCCCCATGGGGAAAAACCCCGGGCCAATTTCTGGTGGGGATTCATTTTCAAAAACCCCATGGGACAGTTTCATAAGGGATCTCCGACAACGTTGCGGAAGTGTTGCCGCAGAAAGTAACGAACGCGGTAAGGTTACCTCAACTTTATCGTGGCACTCATGCGGAGACAATTCTTAGGAAAGGGGTCGGCAACGTTGCCGAGGAAATGGTTGCTCGAACGGCAAGGTTGCCAATACCTTACCGTCAGGTTTCCGATCTCGTGCCGTATCGTTACGGCAACGCTGCCGACGTGTAAGCATCCAGGATTGCCGGAAACGTTGCCGCGGTAACATTTCCGGTAGTCTTATCTCATTTCCACGGCAAGGTTACAGCAATGATACGCTAGGGTTTTTCTTCTATATGGTGGCCACTTCTTGGCAAAGTTAAACTTTCAATGATATTACCTAAACAGGATTTTGGAGCTTACCTAGTGAATTTGATTCAAAATGAAATTTTCAACTCTGATCGGACATTAAAGCACAATGAATCTAAACCCTGGTTAAAAGGAGTACGCATGACCCTAGTAGCAGTGACTGATGAGAAAAGTTGTAAAGATCTCGAAAATTTTACTTAAGAGAACTTAAAATTTATATTCAAAATCGCTTGAAAATTACGAAAAAAACCTCTTGAAATATCCTTATCAGGAAACCCTTTTTGGGGCTTTTTTAACATACTTAAAATCGAAGAAAAATTTTAAGTACATTATCAATTTTATTTTTTTTATAAACTTATTGCGGGCAAAAACGAGGAAAAAAAGTCGTGATCAGAAAAAAATAAAAGGAAAAGTTGCAGCCCATAAAATTGAGGATATAATTCGTTGATTTTAACGTAAATTTTACGTTTTCTTTTAATTGAAATAGCACTATTTCTTAAATTAAAAGATTTCCAGAAAAGAGTATCTTAAAACGAGTGTTTTAAGACGTTTTTTATTTAAAATTTACGAGTTTTTTACATTTTTTTGACACTTATTAGAACTCTTTTTTAAAAGAGCCATTGCTACCAGGGGAGCAACGAATAAATGTTATGTCCGCTCTGAATTTCAATACTTCTTACATGACGTTCCTGTTGGCCTCCTGACGCTGATGAGTTTTTAAAATCGAACTTTCTGTGTATCTTTATGGCATTTTTACAAGCAATACCTGACAGATGTTTTTAGACAAACAGTTTGTTGCATAATGGGTCAGAACCAAACATTTTTAATGAATACCCAGTCACACAATGGGTCAATGGAAAAAAGTTTTTGGACAAACTACCTACTTATCTTTAAATCTTGATTAAATTAAAAAATTGGTAAGTAATTAACAACTATGCCACACTACAACTACCGCTGCGTTGATGCACTTTTTATGGAGAATATACTGTTCCCGCTGAGGATGCACAAGCTCCTTGAAATTGGTAAAACAATTAAAACCGCATGATCATACAAAAAACGCGCACAAAAATTAAATGGCCTGGAGCAGCGTTCTTATTTTTTATAATCCTAGAGGTTTCTATATATCCATGAGGCGAACCAATTGAGGAATGTCAGAGGTTGGCAACAATCCTTTCTCATGTGCTCCCACCCAGTGTTGCTGCCATTTTTCCTCACACTAAGGGTCCTCATTTTCTCCATAAGACTCAGTGGTCATTCACTCTCTCCATTGGAGAGTCTCCAAAGTTGCTCTGAGCAAAGGTGGACAAAACTTGGAACTGATTTAACAGAAAAACTAGGAGTTGAAGGTGTTTCATTCTGATCGGAGAAAGGACTAGGTATATTTGTCGCTCCCAAATATAATTACTAAAAAAAGATAATCAGCAAAATGAAAGTGTCTTATGACGAGAACAAGGAGAGGGAAACTGAAATGAGCCAAAACTTGTTCAGCGGTTCAGAGTGAACTATCAACGCCTTCTCCGAGATGTGGATTTGTAGACCATTTGATAATATAAAGCCATGTAGAGTTTAAAACAATTTAACGGTGCTTGGCCTCAAGAGTCTTTGCTCGTATCTCGGCCATCACCAAGATATTGGGCCTAGCAAGCGATAGGCAGGGACTAACGCAGCAGTGAATAGCAGAGTAGCAAAATGAGGATTGCAGAATGAGGCAGAAATGAAAAGTGCAGCCTCCCACTGCGGAGAGGGAAGGCTGCTTGTAGGAGCTAAACCTAAGAGAAGCAGGGTGTTGGATTTGCAAGAGAGAGAGAAGTACAGCACAAGATGCATAAGATTTTAGAGAGAGATAGAGAACAAGGTTGTAAAGGAAGGATAAGATTGGTGGAGAACAGAAATACATCAGAGAAGGAGAGCCTCTATGCAGCATATGCTATTAAATACCTTACAGAACATACGGTTTTCACAGACAAAAGACTATTAAGAAGCAAGTTGCTTGTTACGAGCACTAAAAACAAAGGAAAGATCAACAGTTTGACAAAAATAATATTTGAAGACTTGAGATTTTCAACTTCATTTTCCAGAATTTCTGAAACCACTCAATTTCAATGTTTCATTCCCTCCAATAGGTATAGGTCTTTCATAATGTTTGTACGTATAGCGCAAAAATTCCTGTGACCAAATTGCACTACATATCTACTTCTGAAAATGCACGAATTTAAAGGTGCTGAGCAAGCTCATCGCCAACAATGGTAGGCCGCAAATGATAAACTGACATGAGGGTACTCACAAGTCGTTCAGAAAATTAGAAAAGCTTCAAGGACTTACCCCATTGTAAATTCATTAAAAGACTGTAGATTCCCAATTTAAATATGACTACTTGCATCTTTTCTTCTTACGGACAACTAACTTTGAACACCTCATTGAACTGTGAACAAATTAAACTGTTTAAATCTAGTTGCATGCTTGGAACTTTACAGCAAAGCATTGGAAAAACACATTGGGTTGAAGATTTACTTCTGGATCACACAGTGTCAAAGCAGCAAAAAAAATTAGAACTCGACTCGGATATTGATGAGATTTGGTGAACTTTATGTACTAGGTGAGGTGAGGTTGGGTAACTGGGCAAGAGTTCGCAGAAAAATGTCAAAATTTCACGTTCATGATTTTTTCACCATCATTATGTTGACAGAAGAGGCTACTTCATAATTTTTTTTAGTAAGTACAACACCTAGTCTAAATGTAGGATGTGTCAAAAGTCGAATTTCATCTTTCAATTTTTTCCCACTAATTTTCAAAAATGTCCTGCTTTTTTTGACCCAGTTACGCAACATCGTGGGATAACTGGACTACCCCCTTAATTTTTGAGGGGGGTAGTATTTCTAATTCTCATTGGCCAGAAGGTGATGTCCTTCTCATGGAGGTTTAAGAAAATGTATTTTAAATACATATAAAAATGTTTGAGTATATGGTTAAAAAAGATGTTGTAACAGTTGGCAGCGGAAAACCCCCCAAACCTGAGAATTGAATAACCGTCCAAAAAACCGAAAGCTAACCCAAGTACCGAAGTTTCTCCAAAATTTTTCATTCTAGATAAATGCTTAGAACTTACAGTATTACTAGTACTCATTAAGAAGTAGGTAGGTAATATATTTCAGGACACTTTTTGGCCAGTTTCAATAAAATTACTTACGGCTGATAAATTTTTAAAAAATAAGTACAAAATCTTAAGCTGTAGGGCTGATTAACGAGAGTACTGGGCCAAAACGTTCCTGTCTGAGTAAAGTAAACTTTAGGTGTTATTAAATTCATTATAGAATGAAGTTCATGAATGATATTTTGACTGAATGGAATGAAATAAAAACTTAGAATTAAGATTTGAACGGGATAGCCGGCACCTGCCCAGTAACCCCATGAAGGGGAAATTTTCAAGGTAACTGGGCATCATCCATTTCAACGGCGTAAGCCCGCAATAACATACTTATCTTATTCACAGTGTCCAAAAATCTTCACCTCTATGTCATTTTTCTAAAGGAGAACAAATTGACATCATTCCTTGAAGTTTTTGCTGAATTTTCTTCACACAGAGAGAGAAAATCATGCAAAAAATCAGGCTTAAGGAATTGCCGTTGAGTAATTTTCTGTTCGAAAAATAAAGTATGACAGGAAATCTGCAATATCGCAATCCAAGTTATGTGATTGATGACTTACACCGCCGATTTGCAGCCAGTGTTTTCATCCAATAATGTTGTAATTGCTCACCAGAGACATAAAGATGGAGCACTAGAAGAAGAAAATGAAGCCACCTCTCCTATTCGTTAGAGCAGCAGGAAAACTAACTGTATCTGAGATTCCTGTACGATTCTTCCTTGTTACCAAACCAAAATGTGTTTAATATAAAAATTCACAAGCTCTACTTTATTTATTTGTTTGTTTTAAGCAAATAAAACGAGATTAGAAGAAGAAATGTGGAAAAATCAAGAGGACAAATTCAAATTCAATTTCGTTTCCTGCGCATGGATTCACAGCAGACTTTATCTGAGATTCCTGTGAGATTCCAGCTCGATACCAAGCCAAAAGAGGTTTTTCATAAAAATTCGCAATTCCAACTTTATTAATCTGTTTGTTTTAGGCATTAAAATGAGATTCGGGGAGGAAATATGAAAAATGAAGAGGACAAGTTGAAATCCAATCGTTTCCCGCGCGTGGATTCACACCAGAATGGCTGCACTTCTTCCCCGTGCTTTTAGATACGAGCACTCTATCTTTATGTCTTTGTTGCTCATGCATTAAACAAGTACATCATACATGAAGAGGAAACGTCAAAGCTGCTGTGATAGCAAAGAGAGCCATAAGTGCAAAAATTAAGTTTTGAGAAAATGGGCCTAGAAGCTTCTGAGTGGAACATTTTATTGAAAGAAGCCTCCCTTCTTTGTCAAATCGCAACCAATCATTCGACAGACTCTTAGAAATCATACAGGGGATTAAAACTCGACCGATTTTGTTTTAAAGTACATGAAAAAGGTAAAATTCAGTTTCATGTTAAGTTAGTATTTGGCAAGACAACTTGGCTATCTTCTGCGTGCTTTTGTGGTAGCGTGTTGGACACACAACAAACACATTTTCAAGTTAGAAATCGGCAGCATTCCTCTGGAAAGCACTGCTTTCATTGGCTCTCGTGCACCTACGGCTGTCTTGAAAAAAACTATGTCATTTTTTTTCATACGTCTCGTTTTCATTAAATTAGGATTAATTTTTTGTTTTAGCTGTCTCAGTAATTTCATCCAAAATAGTATAGACGAATTTTGAAGAAAATTCGATTTCGAAAATTTTGTACTTACGGCTCTCTTCGCTATCACGGTAGAAAGTAGAATCAAAGGTAGAATACAAAATACAATAATATCAAGGTAGATTTACACAGGTATGGACAGAACTTAACAACTAGGTATAGACGCTATTAGTGCAAAGGGGAATACTGCATTACCTCCAACGGCATTACCTCCACAAGACTCCCCTGCGATATAT